ATTCTGGACATTTCAAAGTCATTTTAAACATTTTTGGGTAATTTTGAACAGATCTTAAGTCATTCAGGGTCGTTTTTGTTATTTTGTACCATTTCTGAACACATTTTAAGCCATTTAATGCAAATTTTAAGTCATTTTGGATCATTTTTGAGTCAGTTTCAGAAGGACCGTCTAGGTTTAACAGATAACGTTCTGGAGTGAATGGATGAATTGTGCAGATGAGCATTGAAGAGCTGTTACGTCAACACGGTTCCACAAAGCGTTTAAATTCAGATTTCACTGCTTCCTCCTCGGATCAAAGCAGAGCCACGCTGTATTCATTATTGATGGAGAGGCAGACAGCATCCTGACTTTTATCTCCATCTCCAGTTACTTCTTGTCTGAGGAGAGACGTGAAACCTTGTTATGAAGATCTCAAACCGTTAGAGTCTCCATCTGCAGTACTTAGTTTTTATTATCGATCGACTGTTATGTTTTTTTTAGGGCGGATACTGATTATAAGGAGTTTATTTCACATCGCTTCATGTGCCTTTGTGGTCATTTTGTGACTCTTCATGGTCGTTTTTTACCAAAGTGTTGGTGTTCTGGTGACTTCGTTTCACTTTATTTATGTCTTCTGATGTTAGACCACTTTATTTGTTTTTGTCGTCTCTTTTAGCTTTTTATTGCGTTGTAGTCGACTGATGTGTTTACTGGCTGCATTTGTTAGCATCACACCACGTCTTCTCGGTAACTCGGCCTTCAGCCTTTAACTAAACCGGAACGACCATCCTCTGATTCCTCCCCGCAGATCGAAGCGGGTCAGTACTGCACCTTCGTGATCTCGTCCGACGGTTCGGTCCGAGCCTGCGGGAAGGGCAGCTACGGCCGGCTGGGCCTCGGAGACTCCAACAACCAGTCGACGCTGAAGAAGCTCACCTTCGAGCCGCACCGAGCCATCAAGAAGGTGTCGTCGTCCAAAGGCTCGGACGGCCACACGCTGGCCTTCACCACCGAGGGCGAGGTGTTCAGCTGGGGCGACGGAGACTACGGGAAGCTGGGCCACGGAAACAGCTCCACCCAGAAGTACCCCAAACTGATCCAGGGGCCGCTGCAGGGGAAGGTAGGGCTTCAGCTCAACCTCACACGTCTACAGTCATGAACTAAAGTCTCCGTCCATGTACAGTCCATGTTGATCATCCAGTCTTTAGTTTCCTGTGACTCTTAGAACT